AAGAGGAGTATCGGGGCTCCTGGTTTAAGAGGAGTATCGGGGCTCCTCCTTTAAGAGGAGTAACCAGTAGACACCAACAAAGCTGTTAAGTCTGAGCGTCCTTCGCGGCGCACAGGACTGACCCGCAGCTTATTCACACGAGTCCAGGAGGTGATCTTAGCGAGGAGGAGCGTAAGATCTGAGGAATGGTGGGGGTTATGGTCAAGGTGTAGTGCAGGTGCGGCCTGTCACCTGTCGTCATCGTGTGATTTGCTTAAGGCGTGATCAGAGGTGTTTTTTGTCGTATGTCATGTGTTGTATCACGTGAATGGACTGAAACCGAACCAAATGTTCGTCCAGAATCTGGAAAAAACAAAACATTTACCTCTTTTTGTGTTTGCTAAGGATGAATAAATGTGGTAGCCATCTTTGATCAGGTTGACTCCAGAAGTTTAATCACTTCTTCACCTCTAGTTTCAAGGAAGTCCACCCAGTGGTTCATGAGATATTTTGCTAACAGACAGGGGCACTTGTTCTCACCAGAACTCTAGCGTCTTGTTCTGTATCTGGTCTTGAAAATTAGATTATATTTTGTGGTTGTTTATTAAATCCAACAATTGTAGAAGCCAAAAGGTGAGCTGTGCCCACTCTTGCGGCCGACAGTGCAGCAGTCTGGTCCCATGGCTCCTTGTTTAAGATGAAACCATTAATGTTTAAATGTCTGGTTCCAGTTGGGGTCGGTGGAAGGACATTCAAAACCACGGTCGGTTCAAATGGCACCTGACGGAGCGGGACATGGAGGCGATCTGCAGGTAGGACCGACCACTTGAACATCGCTGTGAGGACGTTTGTCAACAAAAACAAAGTAAACAATAGAAGTTACTTTTTCTTAGAGAATACAGCGTGAACAAAGAAAGAGATTACTGAGTTTACTGAAGCTAGAGCTGCGCGGTTACCGCTGAAAGGCGTAGAACACGAGCTAACAGCTAAAAGAAACAAAACACTAGCTAAATGACGCCAATTACTAGCTAAAATCCGAAAGCAGCAAGACACAGCTAAAAGCGTAATGGAGCAAAATGCAAGCTAAAACATCAAACCATCGACGGGCTACATAAAAGTAGCCAAAAGTTAACTTGACAAAAGGCTAAAAGTAGCAAAACAAAAGGTAAAAGCACTAAAAGTGTGCTAAATCTAAAAGCAGCAAAAGGCTGGCTACATCCTCATTGTAGTAAAAGACGAGCTTAAAGTATTGTAACACAACTTGGAGGGAAATAAACTAGCAAAAGGTTAGCTAAAATCTAAACAATTGAAATGCTAATTGATGCTAAAAGTAACAAATAGCTAACTGCTAACTTAAAGCTATAAGTATAAAATGGCTACCCAGTAGCTAAAAGTAGCAAAAGATTGGCTAAAAGCTACAAGTAGCAGAACAGTAGCTAAAAGCTTATAGTAGCATGAGAAGGTAGAAATGGAACCTTTAGCTTTTAAAAGATAAGGTTGTTTAAAGTTACAAAAACCAGAATGCTGAGCCCGCTTCTCCTGGATGAGCTGAATGTTTTTATTAACGATAAACCCGTATAGTAGTCGTGTGAATAACGTTATTAACTGACTGAATGTTTCTGTTCAGCGCCTGAGACGACCTCTGCTGTGACTTGGTGCTACATAAACAAACTGACTTGAATTATTTCAACAACAAAGTGAATTGTGTTTGCTTTGTTTGTGCAGGGCTCTGCTGGTTTACTGCCTGAAACACTACAAAGGTGACGATAAGATCAAGTGCTTCATCTGGGATCTGATCGCGCCCTCTAAAGACGGTCAGGACCAGGCGCTGCTCAACCACTCCGGTTGGTGTTTCGCCTCCTCATCTTCTGAAAAGCGTTTTATTCAGGATTTATTCTGCTGCTCAGCTGCTGTAAGTCCACAAACGTGAACTCTGTTTGTGTTTGCAGGTTTGTCTGCTCCAGTTCCTCGGGGCAGGAAAGGGAAGAAGCTGAAGAATCAGCTGAATGTTCCCGATGTGAAGAACGCCGACTGGCTGGTCCACTGCAACCCCGAGGTGGTTCTGCAGGACGAGAGCTACAAGAAGCACCTCAAGCAGCACTGCAACAAGTCAGTGTGGCAGCTCCGTCGACTCACAATAACCCAAGTCACCGTCGTTTTACAGCTGTTGTCTAAAGTCACTTAAAAATGTTTTTACAGAGCGCACTGATGATTCTTGGGTTGTGTTTTCTTTCTGATCATGTTTAGTTTTATCATTTATGAGCTGCACGACAAATGCAACAATTCAGAATAAACTTTATCATTTACCGAAATACAGGTAGATTATGTTCGTGCAGTCGTCCTTAAGATGGTCCGAGCGCACGTTGCTGCTGCTCCTCAGAGCGCAGCCTCTTCTTCTTCAGATAGAAAAGGGAAAAGGCCATGAGGAGAGGACAGTGGTATTACAAAAAAGATCTCCTCACAACTTGTTCTTATAGGACACGATTTAAAACATCCAAAAACTCCAGCAGCAGCACATTTATAGACACGTTAAATATGCATTTGACGACGAGACGTGAGATTTGTCCATGAAGCACTTCACAGAAGTTCTCCAGGGTGGGGGTGGGGGGGTTTGCAATAGTCAGAGCTTTCTTCGTTAATACATATCCCAGGAGAAATTTGATAAGTTGTCCTGCTTCAAGGCCGAACAGGGGAGTCGGAATCAGAAAAGCCACAGTTGTTGATTTTTTCAGGCAGACTGTTGCTTCTCATCAGCCTTGAGCTCTGCTGGTACTTTTAATCCAAAATGGCCAGATTTGTGGGCAATCCACTGGTCCGTGCTGATCAAGGTTGTCCCCAACATGCTGGCAAGTCCCAGAAGCAGCAAGTGGCCTGCGATTTTCACAAATCGCTTCCATCTTATGGTTTAGCTTGTAAATCAGCTGATTTTGAGTACTTGACGCACGATCCAAACACAGGGTCGGCAGCTTTGCTATGGCCGAAACTGCCACCGCCGTCTTCTTTAATAGCCGATAACATAGGTATCCACCGGTGCCAAAAAGCAGAAACCCTTCTATCATGATTCCAGTACCTTCAGCGTCCTCCTGAGACAATACAGAAAGGCACATCAGATCCATGATCTGCCGCGTGCGTCTCATCGGTGCATGAGGGCTCTCCAGGACCCTGTCGCTTTGTTGAAAAAATTTTATCGGTTGTGTTGAAAGTCCAGCTGACCAGATCCATGACGGTAGTTTACGTTGCGGAAGAAGTGGAAATAGGAGCTCCGATACACAGGACAGAGCAAAAAAGCAGGAGGAGGACGAGAGAGGGAAGGAAGGCGTCCGTCTTCCACGAGAGCGAGTGACACGAGAGCGAGTGAGGAAAATAAAATACAGCAAGTGAAGTTGTTCTCTACGAACGCTTCTTACCGAACGCTTCTTACCGAACGCTTCTGATCGAACGCTTCTGATCGAACGCTTCTTACCGAACGCTTCTTACCCAACGCTTCTTACCCAACGCTTCTTACCCAACGCTTCTTACCCAACGCTATTTTCTGAATTGGGTTTAAATAAGCAGAAACGAGTTCAATACCTTAAATAACTTAATTAGGAAATTGGCTAAAACTGAAATTAGCAAAAAATGTCTGAAAAGTAACTGTAAGGCAGAAAGAAGCTTAAGCTACCAGAAGGAAGTGGAAAGAGCTGAAATGAGCTAAAAAAATGTGGCATTAGCTGAAAAAGCTAAAATTTGCATAAAAACAGATAAATAGCTGAAATAGTTGAAACTAACATAACTGGACTTGAGCATAACGAGCTGAAATAGCAGAAGGAAATTAATTAGGCTGAAAGTAGCAGAGATTGCCATGAAAAACTTGAATCTATTTGAAAACGGCAAAAATTAGCTAAAAAATTAGCTGAAAAGGTAGAATGAGCCTAAATTAACAGAAGAATGCAGAAAGAACAGATGTTTGCCCAATTAGGCTGAAAGAAGCAGAAATGAGCACAAAAAGTGGAAATTAACAAAAACAAAACTGCTTAAAAGTAGCTAAAAAGCAAAAAATAAGCTGAAATTACCAGAAGGGGGTGGAGAGAGCACATTTTTGCTGAATTAGGCTGAAAAAAGTTTAAATGAGTGCAAAAGTGTGGAATTAGCTGAAAAAGCTTAAACTAGAATTACAAACAGCTAAATAGTAGCTGAAGCGGTAGAAAATGCTGAAACTTGCAGAAACTAGCTGAAAGGAGCAGAAAGAATCTGAAACTAGCACAAAACAACTGAAAGTAGCTGAGAAAAGTTTAAATGTGCAGCAGGAAGCTGAAGCAGAGCAAAATGTCAAAAGGAGCAGGAACAGGTTGTAAACGCATCTAAATATTTGAAAGATGTAAAATGAGCTCAATTCCTTTTCTATGAGAACAAAATGTCAGAAAAGGCTAAATATTTCAAAAAGCTAAAGTTGCACCAGAACCAAAAGTCACAGCAGGATTGTCCTGAAAGAGCCGAACATTTTGATTTGTGATTTGATGAAATAGCTGAAAACTGCGGGACGAGAATCGGACCAGAGGACGTCCAGAAGAAACATGCATCACAGAAGTTGCTTCATAAACGTTCACACTATTAGAAGCCGACACTTCTAGAAGAAAGCTGTTAAAACTTGTTCCTGCCGTGTTTTCTCACCACAGGGTCCTGCTGAGGGTACGGATGTTGTACTACCTGAAGGTGGAGGTTCTGGGGGACGTAGCCACTCAGGAGGGAGTACCTGCCAGGTACGCAGCGGACGACCATCAGTCTGACGCCAAAATGTGAAGGCCACGTCATGAAAAGAGACTCTGTTGAATAATTTGTTTGTGTCTTTGGTGCAAAGTGAAACTGATGCAGCGCAGGTTTCGTACCGACGTGTTTTTGATGGTCTGAACTGGACCCTGACAGCCTGTTCGTGTGATCACAGTAAACTGGACGTGGCGCTGCCGGACATCGACTACATCGAGATTCCTGTGACGTGGTGGGACGCCGAGGCTGACAAGTCTCTCCTCGTTGGGGTCCACAAACACGGTGACTTGACCGCACTTACAGACAGCACCTGATAGATTTATTTTTCCTGACGTGACTTTTAAATCAGATTTATTTTTCAAGAATCACTTGCTCTTTGCTTGAAAGCTGATTTCTGGTTTGTGAAGTCTCTAAACTGAGAAACTCTGAAACAAAAACAGCCTCTCATGTTTTGGTTGAAATATCTCGTTGGATGAGCTCTTCTGATCTGCAGCAGAGCGCTTCACAGAATCATGAGCTCCAAACAGGAAGTCCACCTGTGTGTATTTGTATCCCATCGACCGGCCTCGGTTCTCAAGTTCTGCCTTTTGCTCTGAACCGTTAAATTTTCATCAGCAGGTTTAGACTGGTCCCTCGTCGTGGAGCGAAGCGGGGACTTATGGTCCGTTCATCTTCTGAGCGTAATAACTTGGACAATTGGCAACACGCCGACTTCCACTTGGGTGTGTGTCTGCGTCAGAAAGGTCACCATCGAAATTTGGGTTGCCAAGTCAAATCCAAGATGGCTACCACCGTATATGTGAATCTGCCGTGCTTGTCATTTGAGGAAACGATGTTTTATTTTGTCTATAGTTTCCTCAAATGGTCGAGGCGGCTGAAGGTGAATCTGTTGCTTCGTTAATGAAACTCCTCAGTGACGGGGGACACCGGAGTACTTCCTGTGTGGTTACCAGCTGATAATCCTCCTCACCAATGAGGAGTTGGCTTCTTATCACCTGCTGCCATGACAGGAGGTTCTGACCCAGTCCATTTATTGAGCTAAATGTGTTGTGGTAGTAGCTGAGAGTCATTCCATCACATGCCCAGAGCTCGAACAGATTCAATGAGGTTTTTATTCAAAACTTCACGTTTCACTCAAGAAAGCTGATCGCTGTGTTTAGACTTATTGTGCCTTTAAAATAAGCATATATAAAAATATATATTTAAAAAATTGTTTCTATTTCCTGTTGAAACAAAATGGAGGTGCGTGTCGCCCCGTAAGTCGAGCAGCGGTCCTCCGCTGTGTAAAACGTCCAGAATGGAACAAACTGCTGTACTTTTTATGTGTTTTTCATTTCAAACTGTATCGTCAGCGTTGACGGGAAATAAACAGTTTTATTTTGTCTAACCGTGTTTCTGTGTCCCGGGTCAGGGTATGAGCGGTACAACGCCATGCGCGCCGACCCAGACTTGTGTTTTCTGGAACGGGTCGGGATGCCGGACGTCGCGGCTCTGACTACAGAACAAGGAGGAGGAGAGGGAGCGTCTGAAGCCACCGACAGGTAAACTCTCAGAGGTCCGCGGGCCGGAAGCTGTGATTCAACGCTGCAGTCGTTAGGGCTGCACCTTCAGGACTTCAGTTGGTTCCTAGATGTGTTTAACGTTGCTGCAGAGGATGTTGGCTCGTCACTTCCATTAATCTTCCTCCTGCTGAGCCCGGTCAGCTCCTCTTCCTCCTGCTGTCGCTGTTTGCATTCGCAGCAGGAGACGACGCCGGTGTGAAAAAAACACATCCTGCTTCCTCTGATGTTTGTTTCAGTTGGTGCCACCTTCCTGCTCACATTTCTGCTTCCTAAACCAGGAGAGAAAAAATACTGCCGGGTAAAAATATCCTCTATTCATCTTACCCACTGCGAGACGCCACAGTCGAGGACACGAGATATTTAACTGGTTTTCACTTGAAAGGGCAGACTGTCTCACAGGTTTACACAGATGCATCACTGGAGCCAGTCGTGAGACTCTGCAGCGTGTGAGAATAGTTTCTATAAATACGCTCAGCAGCCCTCGCAGCTCGCCGTCACTGATGACCTCGGCCTCCCGGCTGTACATGCAGGATCAGATCAGCTCCTCTCTGAGAGACAAAAGAACTCTCTGGTTAGTGATGAACATCCTTGACCAACGATCCCGTGACGGCGTCGGGTTTAGAAACAAAGAGTGACGTTAAGGCCGACGACAACGCACCTAAAACATTTACGCTCCTGTCCTGGTGTTTCCTGGTGGTTTGAAGCTTCTGCTGCTTTGTTTCTTCTTTACAAACTTCCTTTTGGTCCCACAGCAGGTTTTTAAAATGTTTGATCTCAACTGCTTCTTTTCAACGTCAGCGTTTCGATCCGAACTCTGTGATTTTTAAAAATTTAATCCGTGTTGCTGCTCTCCGTTGGCTGTTCGGCGATTCGTCTTTATCACAACGTTTCAAGTGTCGTCACTGAAGTTTTTCTCCTTCTGATCGGTGCCAGCAGCTGTAAGACGGAGGAGGCGAAGGACGAGGCGGAGGTCAAGGCTAACGGAGGCGAGGATCGAGACGAGAGCAACAAGGTGAAGAGAAAACGTCTCCCGAGGCGTCTACTCCTTTCCTGTCGCTCTCCACACGACTTCAGATTCAGTTTGACGTCTTTTTAAAATGTGTTTCATAACCGGGTTCTGTTAGAACCGTCCTGTTTGGCTTAACGACGCCGCTAATCCAGTGTTTTGCTGCTAGTTCATAACAGCTGAGGGATCAAAGCAGCACAGCAGCCGGAAAATTAAGAAAATATTTCGTCAGTTTCTCTCTTTAGCTGCGAACTCACAAGAACAGATTTCTGCATCATTTAAACTGATAATCTGAATTAGCTGGTTGATTTAAATCCAACAGCTGAAGCCAGATTAAAACCAGATTATCCTGCTCACGTTTATTTTGTATAATTTGTAGTTAGTGATCATGATTGACTGCAGCTCAGACTAAACGTGTAAATATATTAAAGGTAAACGTAGTTTGGATTCGGTGTCTCGCCTCTAATCGACCAGCTGTGGATCGATGCTGATGCGCCTCCGGTCTCCTTCACAGGGGGAGGAAACCTGCTCCAGTACCGGCGAGTGCGAGAAGCCGGACAGTTCGAGTCAACGTGAGACAGATAATCTTAATTAGAACTCCTGAATGAGCCGGACCTCCTTATTGAAGCAGAGACGAACCGTGTGTGTGTTTTTCTGGACAGACTCTCAGGCGTCCACTGACCTGAGCGCTCAGGACGGACCGCTGGTTACCACGACAACAGCAGGAACGACAACGGGGACCGGGGTGGCATCTCTCCACGTGGTCCAGGCCCGACCCCTGTGGCCCACCGGCCCCGCCTTGACGGCCCGCTTTCGGCGCCTGATCACCGCCTACCAGCGCTTCACGCTGCGCCGGGAGCCCCTGCTGAGGAACGACTTCCTGCTCCACGATGGCCTCGTTGGCTTGACGATGGGAGGGGCCACAGCCGGTCACCACGCCGGTGGGCCGCTGGCGTGGCAGCTGGGAGAAGAGCTGAGGAGGTGTTCGGTGGTCTCCACAGAACCGGACCCCCTGTTCCTGGAGTGGCAGAGGAGGTGAGAACTCGCAGTAGCTCCGAGCTGAGACCTCCTCCTCTGTTTAAAGTTGTTTTTACTCGCGTGTCGTCCCCCGTCTCCTCTGTCCTGACCCTGATGCCTGCAAATCTTCACCAGCGTACTTCCTGTTTCAGGTGGACCCGCCGCGAGCAGGCGGACTTTTACCGCACCGTCTCGTCTTTCGGGGTCGTGTACGACCCGGAGAGGAAAGCTTTTGACTGGTCCCAGTTCCGAGCGCTGGCCCGACTGGAGAGGAAGACCGACGAGAGTTTGGAAAGATACTTTAACTCGTTCGTCAACATGTGCAGGACGGCGTGCAAACTTCCCCCGAGGAAGGAAGAAGGTAACGTTTCCAGTTTTCTGGTTTTCCAGGACTATTATTTATCACTTTTCTCTACAAAACTGGTGCTTTTATTTATCTGAGCTGTTTGTGATGAACCCACTGGTTTCTGAACTCATTTGAACCGTTAAACCGGTTTAAGTTGAACCTTCTCCTCACAAAATGGATTCCTGCAGGGCTGGTGGATCCTGGCGTTCTGGTGGAGCCTCTGACCGAAGAACGAGCGGCGAGGACGCTGTATCGCATCGAGCTGCTGAGAAAGATCCGGGAGCAGGTGGGTGACGGACACAACGTCCCATCGAGCTACTCCGTCTCATGTTCAGAGAGTTTTATCGTCTGACTGCAGAGAGGAAACAGATGAGCCGAGCTGCCGCGAGCAGAGTCCGAACACGATCAGATGTTTTTAATGGCGTTTACAAAAAGACGAGACTTTGATGAGTCAGGTGGTCATGACCTTTGACCCTCAACCTGCTAACAGGCCTGCAGAGTCTAAGATGGAGGTCATTTCTCAGAGCACTGCACGGCCTGACCTTCAGGGTGAATTTGCTGCCCCTCCTGGCTGGCGGCTGTTTAAATGTTGTCCGTCTGTGAATAATCAGCTCGTTTGTTTCTGAGCAGCAAAGTGACCAAGTTTCTGTTTTGTTTAATAAATAACGACCCGGTTGCTTCTTCAGATGAATAATTTCAGAATCTGGTGAAGTCTGCATCAGTCTGGATCAGTCTGGATCAGTCCAGATTAGTCCGGATCAGTCCGGATCAGTCCGGAACCTTTAGTCCCTTACAAGCTTTACTTCTTGTGAGATTTAGTTAAATTAGACGTTTCACGTCCAGTGACGGGAATAAAAGCGAGCGATCTGTTCCTCAGGTTCTTCGACACCCCCTCCTGTCGGCCTGCCTCCAGCTGTGCCGCCCCTCCCTCTACCTCCCCGTCTGGTGGGAGAGCGGTAAACACGACCGGGACCTCCTCATCGGGGCGGCGCGCCACGGCCTGAGCCGCACGGACTTCTACATCCTGAACGACCCGCAGCTCAGCTTCCTGGAGGCCCACAGGAACTACGTCAGGCGGCACCCTGTTCACCTCCACCCTCAGAGTCATCATCACCCCCTCCACGGGGGCTTGGCGTCCCATCCTGGAATTTCCTCCTCCTCTCCTTCGGCGTCCCACATGCAGCTTCCTCATCCTCACTGCTGCCTCTACGATTCAGGACTTGGACATCAGTCCCCGCAGCCTCCTGAGTACCCCCACCAGGTCTCCAACCACCACCAGCAGCAGGTTCCCCCTCCGTCTGCTCCTTCCCCCTCCTCCTCTCACCTCCACCCGCCCCCTCTGGATGCCCACGATTCAGCCCCAGCCAGTCTGGGTCTGGTCCCCGGGTCGCGGGTGGATTTCCTGGACTGTGCCCCTCTGGACGACGGTCTGGAGCTGGGCTCTCTGCAGCACGACGCCATGTCTGCAGACGCTCTGCACGGAGGCAAGGCATCCAAAGACGCCCTCAACGGGTTCCCGTTCAACTCCGCAGCCGGAGGGCAGAGCATGCTGAACTCGTACGGAGTCGGGGGCACAGACCTGGACTCCAGACTCCGGAGCGACGTGCTGGTTGGGGAGCAGGGCTCGTCGGAGGAAACTGGACTGATGGCGCCGTCTGTGGAGCTGGATCAGCTACAGGTATGTAAAACCCAGTCCTGTTTGGAGCTCCGCGGGTCGGACTTGACGGCAGAACCGTCGTTCGGGGTTTAAACGCGTCGCTGGAAGTTGGACTGAATATAACCCTCTTATTGAGGCTCATTTGCTACAAGAATTGTGCAACAGCTGTAAGAGCTGGTGTCATATGTTCAGTAACAGCCATATGATATGCAGAGCACTTTAACTTGTATTAAATGAAAAGTGTTAAATGTTATTTATTAGCTTCTCAGTGACGTCTGAAATGACGGTTTGTAACTCGGGTAAGGTTACGTTGGGAAAATATCTCAGACTGGGGTCGATGTAGCGAGGCTCAACGTACTCCATAAATCTTCAGAATCCTCAACCAAAAAAAACTTCCACACGCCGACATTTTGAATTCTTCTTTTCTGCCGTGATCAGATCAGGTAAGTGCACGTGGCGTCATCACGTTGTGCTGCCGCTGCAGGAATCCTCGTCACTGTGTTCATACGTAAGCAGCGTCTTTTATATCGGTGATTGTTTTGATGGAATGGCCGATGTCTGATATTTAACTTTAACGCTAATATCGGCCGATACCATGCCGATAATATCGTGCGTCCCTAAATGTCTCCAAACTTCCACAAACTTTATCGTTCCTCTGCAGTTTATAGTCATCTTTATTTATAAAGCACGTTTCGAACAGCAGCCGTTACCGAAGTGCTTTTATAAAACCACACGAAGTTTTCTGTCCTCGTGTTTCTGTTTCTACAATCATGGACTCCCACTCTGAGCTGGAAATGGTTTTTACCTTGTGTCTCCTTCAGCACGACTTCTTTCTGTCTGCCTGTCTGCACGAGAGTACAGTCAGGGAGTAAGACACAGTTGTGGTTACCATGGTGATCCTAAAGAGCCACTGACCACAGCTTTAATAGTTCTCCAGAACTTGCTTAGTTTGTATATTCTGGTTCCACTACTGAACCGACCTGGTTTGACCCGGTTCCTGCAGGCTCCCTGGGACAGCACCGACCACACCAGTCCGGCTGACCACATGTTCAACGAGTCTGACCCAATTCTTGGTCCCTCTGCTCTGGAGACGGGCTTTCTGGAGGAGGACGACGAGGAGGCTCAGGGAGGAGACGGAGTGGGAGAGGAAGGAGGGACTCTGGAGGAGTGTTTGGGCCTCCCACCTTCGTCCTCCCCGTCCCATCCTTCCAGTGCAGATTCTGTAGAACCTCTGTCGTCCAGTTACCTGCTCTTTAAGGTCGGTTCTGACCCGAGTCTCCGTTCACAAAGGAAAATGTGAATTTTTAAACTTGAATAATTCTGACTGGTTCTGGTTCTTCAGGACATCGGAGTGAACGAAGAGACCAGTGCCGACCAAATGGACCTGTCGGCGAGCCCGCCTCTCCCCTTCGTCCCCCCTCCTCCCCTCTCTCCGCCCGACCTCTCCCCCCACGAGCCGCAGGACGGGCTCGGACCCTCCGTCTCCGACAGCCTCACCGATCCTGTGGAGGAGGAGCGGGACGGGGGCGCGGCGTTCGAGTTCGAGGAGAAGGAGGAGGAGGAGAGCGCCGATCGGCACGTTGAAGACGACGAGCAGAACCTGCAGGACGGTGAGTCGAGGCTAAATTCTGACCCGGCTCGTGCTCTAGATGTCTGGTTTCACGGTGAAGCTGCAGAGTCTTACGCTCGTTTTGGTTTTCTTCGAGGTGCAGGTCGTCTCTCCGCTGGAGAGTCGCAGGCGGACGATGGAGGACCGGCTGAGAGGGAGGAGGCCTCAGACCTCCAGGAGAACTTTGAGGACGAGGAGGATCTACCTGAAGAACTTGACCCTGATCTGAGGAAGCTGGACCAGGAGAGGGACTTTGAGTGTCCGGAGGATCCACCAGAGGAGGTCCATGGGCTGAGCTTGTATCAGACAGAACCTTCTGCGGGGAACTCTCTGGACACCGATGTGTTCATGAGCAATGAAACAGGAGAGTTCGCTCAAAGGAAGGTGAGTCCACAAAGTTCTGGAGAACCTTCTGCAGACCAGGTTGATGAGGTCTCTGAAGGCCGTTTGGATCGGATCGACGCTCCGGTGGAACGAGCTGCTGAAGAGACGGAGGAGAAGCTGGAGAACATTTATTCAGACTTTGCAGAGTCTTCCTGTTCTTCTGTCCTGGAGCACTCAAAGTGCTCTGAACCCAGCAGAGAGGTGGACAGAACCAGGTCCAAAGTCTCCACGGATCAGAACCTGAACTCAGCAGAAGGTTGTGAGAGTGGCGCTGATGGAGACCACAAAGACCATCTGCTTCATCCAAACGAAGTTAAAACAGATTCAGAGATCGACTCAAAGCCGTTGAATCTCAAGTTCTCTGTCCAACCAAACGGTGGTGAGAAGACACGAGAACAACTGTTGGTACCGGTGAAGGTCGAGGAAACCAAACCAGAACCTGCTGAGGAGGCCCACCTCCACGGCTCTGAAACCAAACGCTCAGCTTTCCTTTCCTACCCGGTTAAATCTGAAGGTTTCCAGACCAAAGCGGAGCAGTTTCCTGTCCGAGCTCCGTGCCTGGAGGTGAAACCTGAAGATCTCACTCTTCCCATGAAGTCCGAGAACTTCAGCACCAAACCAGGAACTCTCCGCTTTGTAGCTTATTCAGATGCTAAAGCTGAAGTCAAACTGCCTGATCTACAGTTTCCCACCTGCTCAGACGGGTTTAAGATCGAGTCCAAGCCTGAAGGTTTGAGGTTTCCATCGTTACATGAAGCCAAGTCCGAGGTTCTGGGCTTCACGATGTACCCGGACAGCTCCGAGGTCAAACCGGAGGACAAGCTGGAAGGCCTCGAGTTTGCAGCTTTAGCTGAGGTCAAAGCTGAGATGAAGCAGGAGATGTTGGAGGCGGACAGCACGGTCCTGACCCCGAAGCTGGAGCAGGCAGACTCTTCTGGAGTGCTGGTGCTGAAAGACCAAGTGAAGGAGGAGAAGCCAAGTCCTCCAGGTGAGAACGTCCGCAGCTGCTACAGTCTACGACTCGAGATTACAAAGCTTGAGGTGAAGTCCCTGATTCCATGCTTGTCTCCTGCAGCCCCCCTGGCTGAGGGCTATCCCAGCAGTCCCAGGTTCGCAGCTCCAGTTTCCGTGTGTGAGATTCCCGACAGCCTCCACGAGAGCAGAGAGCTGACCATCGCTCAGCTGCTGCAGGAGAAAGCTCTTTACTCCTTCTCCGAGTGGCCCAAGGTACCGCAGAGCGTCTCCAGCTGCTCGGTGACCCGGTTCGTTCTTAACGTGTTCAGTTTCCCCTTTAACCGGTTCTGCTCCCCCTCTTCAGGACCGAGTTATCATCAACCGCCTGGACAGCATCTGCCACGCCATCCTCAAGGGAAAATGGCCGTCGTCGAGCGAGCAGTACGACTCTCCGAGCTCCCTCGTCGCAAACTCCTGCCTCCCCAACAGCTTGGCCCAGCAGCACCAGAACCGAGCCGGTTTCCTCCCCACCACCGCCCCCGGCTCCGTCCTGGCTCAGTCTAGAGTCCAGCAGACCGGATCGGGTCTGGGGTTTCCCATCCCCCCACCCCTCACCAGAATCCCCAAGGTGAGAGCGCCGGCGTTAACGATATCTGCGCACCTGTCACCTGTCTGCTTTTACCTGTTTCATATCATGGGTCACACAAGTCGGGTCCAGTTTATCTGCAGCTTTCACCTCCAGGTTCCAGCTGAAGGTGAAGGCTGCACGAAAACCATGACAACTGAACCAAACCGGCACATTTAGAGTCAAACGTGTGGATTTAAAGAGATGTGGTTTCAATCCTGCAGCTCTGGACACGCCTTGTTGGCTCTGTTGCTTCGTTGCTTAGTCGTACGTTTCTGTAAGACCTGGGCAAAAACCATCAGTTGTTTTTAAAGAAAGTAAAGAGACGATCAGTTCCAACAAAAACCAGAGAGCTGGTTGTTCATGACACTAGACCAAACGTACCTTTTATTAAAAAATAAAATCATTTCTGAAAAACTCACATCTTTATTGTGAAGCCAAGAATGTAAAAACTAACAAGTCAGCTACCGTACTTTCCAGAGAGCACCTGAGGATAAGCAGTGCACACTAAATAAAAATAATAATAATTTGTACGTGCATCAGCCGCAGGTGTTCACGTTGTAACATGAGTGGCAGCTCACAGATACTGAGAGATGTTCAGCTCTTGTAGATCAAGATCCACCCTCCAGACGGTGTTTCACAAACGATCTTCCTGTTCAACTCGCACAGAGTGAAGGTCTTCACGCCAACCACCTCCAGGACTATTCAACTGGTGGCCCAGGGGCTGAATCAGGCCCACTGGTGAGCTCAGTTCGGCCCACCAGTGGGTTCATTTTTAAATAAAGTAGGTTTTAAACTGTAAAACAAATTTACTTAATGACAATAACTGCTGGATGTCCGGTCTCTGAGCTGCTGGCTTCAGTAACTGTGACCCCTGAATCATCGAGTTGAATAGTCCTGCTCCACTGAATGGTCTAACACAAACTAACACACACTAACACACAATGAACACAAACTAACTCATAATGAACACAAACTAACACAAACTAACACACAATGAACACAAACTAACACACACTAACACATAATTAACACAAACTAACACATAATTAACACACACTAACACATAATTAACACAAACTAACTCATAATGAACACAAACTAACACAAACTAACACACAATGAACACAAACTAACACACACTAACACATAATTAACACAAACTAACTCATAATGAACACAAACTAACACATAATGAACACAAACTAACGCACACTAACACATAATTAACACAAACTAACTCATAATTAACACAAACTAACACATAATGAACACAAACTAACACAAACTAACACATAATGAACACAAACTAACACATAATGAACACAAACTAACACATAATGAACACAAACTAACACATAATGAACACGAACTAACTTTGAAGGAGCTGACTCAGAATTATTAAAACAATCAGAGCCACAAAAATGATAGAACAGCAGCTAAAAGCTAAAACTAGCCTTAACGATAAAGGCTAAAATCTGCTGAAGTTGATTTCAAGGATTTGATGAGAACTTGATGCAATTTTTAGGGGAAAAAAACCATAAAAAATAAAGTTAAACATTAAAAATATCAAAATGTCCCGATGGAGCTGAGCGTTTTGACGCCTGAATGGCTGAAAGTGGTTTGAAACCATAAAAACAGCCGATGAGTCTTTTATGGTTCGTTCCGCCCCGGCTGCTTCTAGTCGTGTCTGATGGTCAATCTGAAGCGTATTTGGACTCGCCCAGGTCCGATGTGCAGCTGCCTCTGTGTCATGTCTCGTGTGTTTAATCACCATCTCTCTCCCGTCCTTGTCCACCCTCGCCCATCCTGTCCACCCTGACAGTACGTGCCGCGGGGCGGCGCTTGCGGGCGCGGAGCTTGGCGCCTCACCTCCTTGCCTCTCTTACAGGAGAGGCTTGTGGCTCCGCCCTACCTCCCTGAGCTCAAACGAGCGGGGGGTCGAAGGTCGTTTGACTACGAAGCCGCCGCCGCAGCAGCCGCCAAGATCTTAGCTGGGAAGTCTGTATCACTGAGCCACACGACCGCCAGCTCCAGCGGCGAGAAGGTGCCAGTGGTGGCTCCGCCCCCTCACCGCACAGGAGCCATGTTACTCAATGGCTGGCAGGAAGCAGCCATAGATCTGACCAAGTCCTCGGGTGAAATAACCACAACGAGCGGCGCCGGGACGAGTGAAGCTGCAGGAATCGGCCAATCCAGCGCCGCACCTGGAAAGGTGCCGGCGCTGCCCCCCATCACCGCTCCGTTACCCGGCCCGGTTGGACTCGACATGTCCGGGATCCTGCAGGCGGGGCTCATCCACCCCGTCACGGGACAGATTGTTAATGGCACCCTGAGGGGAGACGACTCCCTGAGGAGAAGGAGAGGCAGAAGGAGAAACGTGGAGGCTCTGTACTCTGAGTTCGCCAAGAGCCGAGGACTGCACCTCCCCGACACGCAGGTGGGTAGAAGGAGGCGGGGCCAGCCTGTGTCAGAGCAGGTAGAATCTTTTTCAGACACCTCCTGAAGGGAAACAAGTTCAAGGTTCTCCTGTTTCAGGGTGTGTGTGTCCTCCTGCAGGGTCGTGTGGAGGTGATCAGCCACTCCTCAGTCTCCTCCTCCACCTCCTCGCCGTCACCGTCTCCATCAGAGCGACCCGTGGGCCCTCCAACACCGTCCTCCTCTTCTACTCCCACCAACACCCCCACCCAGACCCCCCCTCAGCCGGAGATCGTGGCCGTGGACAGAGAAGCCGCCAGCAAAGGTCTGATCGAGTGGCTGAGGCAGAACCCGAGCTACAGCATGGACCTGCCCGCCTTCAGCCACGTACGTCTCCTTTAGCTGCTTTATCTGGGGCCGCCATTTTACATTTTACTCCTTCTGGAGGGTCGTCCTGCGTCTGAAAACCAAGTCTCAATTTTAGACCTTTAAAAGTATTTTTTAAAGGTCTGGATTTTTAAAACACGTTTGTCTTAAATGAGTTCGTTCATCGTTACATTTTTTAATGTTCGTTCTGAGTCAGCCGTGTTTACACAGTAACAAAACTACAAGTCCCATCATGCATCAGTCGTGTCAGGAGGAACTTGACTCCATTTAGCCTTCAGCCTGTCCTGAAAGTGGATTGAATGAGAGATGACATGTGCTGCTTTAGAATTATTTTTACAACTTTTTATTATTTTTCTGTTTTTAATCTACGTCTTAAATTTGAATCGTGTTGTTTGTTTTCCCAAGAAGACAAAATAAATCTGACGATTAGTTTCATGTGTGTCCACCTGACATTTAGACTTTTTATGGTCACTGTGTCTTAAATGTTTGGGACCAAAACTTAAAGAAATGCAACGTTAAAGGTTTTTCAGTGTTGACATCATTTCCATCGTTTTAACTTGTTTATTTTCCTGTCAGCTGCTTTGCTGCTGGTTTTTATCAGACCTACTGGTCCCAGCAGAACCTGGTCCAACAGAAGCTTCCGGTGATGTAAAACTGGAGGAGTAGCACGTTGATTCACTTCTTCTCTTTCTGTTCTCTTCAGTCTGGGGCCAGTTTGTTGCACGGCTTCGTGGAGCGTCCCAAACAGAGGAGGCATCGCTGCAAAGACCCCACCAAGCTGGACGTCAACTCCCTGACGGGGGAGGAGCGGGTCCCCGTGGTGCACCGAGGCACCGGACGCAGGGTAGCTGCTCACAAACACACTCGCACCGAACCGAGCGCCTTCACGCCAGCCTGCTACACGATCAGAGCAGACTGAAGCGTTTTGGACTCAAATCGTCTCCGGTGAAGTAAATTGAAAAATGTCAGATCTCTGCCGTGTTTGTGTTCCTCTGCAGCTCGGCGGGGCGATGGCGCCGGCCATCAAGGAGCTCTCCCGGTGGCTCGACGCGAACTCGGAGTACTTTGTGGCTCCGGACTGGGCTGAGGTGGTCAAACACTCTGTGAGTAAAAATAATCTGCTGCTAATCCCGGTTTGAAGGTCAGAGATGAAAATGAACCCTCTGATCTGTGATCTGTCCTCGACCCTCAGGGTTTCCTCCCCGAGGGGAAGTTCTCCCGGATACTGACGGAGCCCGTCAACAGAGACCCGGGTTCTCGCCGCCGCGGACGCCGGCCTCGCAGCGAGATGCCCAAGCCCCTCCTCTCTGTCTCTGACTCCTCCCCCTCCGGCCTCGGCCCGCCGCTCTACATGAACGGGGGTTTGATCGGCAGCATGGACTCCATAGTGGCCTTGCAGAACCTCCGTGGCGGCATCCCTGGTATCCCCATCTCTGGAATCATGGCGGCTGGATTCTCGCACGGTTTCCCTGCGGCGGTGTCGGCGGGAGGCTCCGGGGCTGAAGACCTGAAGAACGGGTTGAGCATGTTACCCATGATGCTGCACGGCATCCCGCACCCCCACGGGGCCACCATCCCTCAACACGCCCTGTTCAGTGTCGGCACCATGATGGCGCACGCGCCGCCGCCTCCTCACCCCGGCTCCGCCTCTGCCTCACCCTCCTCCTCCACCTCTCCTCCAGCATCTGCTGCGAACGTCACCACGACGACGGCGCCGTCCGAGGCTGCCAGCCCCTCGTCAACGACACCCACCGACAGAGAGGGCGCCTCCTCCTCAGCAACGGGAGGCGACAAGGAGAAAGGGACAGCGGAGGGCGCCAAGCGTCCCTCGGGGGTGGAGTCAGCCGTCATCACCTCTGCCAGCCGGGCCCACCTGAGCTCGGCGCACCTTGGAACTGCCGCCGGCAGCCATCACGCCTTCAACCCGTTCCTGATCCCAGGCGTGTCCCACGGCCTGCTGTACCCGCACATGTTCCTGCCGCACGGCAGCATCATGGCGCTGCCCGCCGTGCCCCCGGGCGCCGTCGACGCCTCGCCGGGAAGCCCCAAGAGGAGGAGGAAGAGGGCACGGGAGGACGAGGAGAAGGTGGCAGCAGGAGACGCAGAGGAAAACCCGCACTTGGCAGCCTCCTCCTTCTCTGCCTCCTCTACCTCAGCTCTGGAACCGCCTCCTGCCGAAGAAACTGGGCTGGGCGGAGCCACAAACGGGCCCTCAGAACCCCAGAAACCAGACTCCAACTCCCAGAACGAAGCAGCTGCAACTGAAGACGGACAAGAGGAGACGGGAGGAGAGGCGGAGCAGCGAGAGGAGGTGTAGAGGAGGAGAAACTGCAGAGAGAAGCACCTCCCGCCTCCTCCGTCCTCCCAGCTGAGCGGGGGTGTAAAGTTTGTGCTGAGTCTGTAAGTCTGCATCCGTGTAAAACTTTGAATATGCCGTTAGGTCCATGTTTATACCCCCCCCCCCCCCCCACGCCACCATGTCCAGAAAGAAAACCGAGTGTTTCATGATCTCCGATCCTCCCAGGTTCTGATCCAGACGGATTCAGGAGCGACTCGGCAGGAAAACACCACGACCCGAGCGAGCAGCTGAACGAGGAAACGCTCTTCGGTCGTTTTACAGTTTTTACGGCTCAAAACGGTTCAAGGTTCGGATTCTGCTCCAGAGTCGTCTCTGAGGCGCTCGTTACGTTCTCACGCATTTCGCTCCGGTTCGGTTCCGATTCTCCTCGTGCACTAATTCCAGAACAGAACGACTGGACGTGAACTCGGCACTCCTGGATCTACGACACTGAAACAGGAACTTCTTCTGAAGTTGGAACGAGCAGCTCATCCGGACGTTCAAGGTGCTCGCTGCAAAGTTTGAAATCTAAACGAGAACTGACCGCGGGGCTGCGCTCAACGTCAACAAAGCTTCTTTATCAGCGTACCAATCATTAATGGTTTTAATGGTTTAACAGTAAAATCATGGTTTCATCTTCATTTTAGAAATTTATCTGTTTGTTGTTTAGGGAGTGGTGGTGCAGAGGTTGGAGAAGGCGAGCCTGTGATCCGAAGGTCGCTGGTTCAACTCCCCGAACCGACAACATCAAAGTGTGGGTGGCAAAGTTGAAACACCCTCATCTACCCCACTCTGGGCTCTTGAGCAAGGCACTCAGCCCCCACCAGATGCAGCTCTCTGCTCCACACAGAGGGCTGTGGTAGCTCGGTGGTCTGTGGTTGTGTCAGGAAGGACACCCGGCGTAAAAACAACCCCGAATGAAACATCTGGGTGGCGCACATCTGGTAGACGAGCCGTGACTGGTGGGACAAAACGAACCACCAGCCGACGACGTCTTTGTTTATCGAGCACGAAATAACCGTTGGAGAAAATCCAAACCAGTTCCGATCCTTCGTCGGCTCGTGTAAAACGTCCGGCCGCCCGCCTCCAGGACCCAAACTGCCAGACGCCGTCGACCCGTTCCCCGTGTTCAAACGAACACGTGGCAGTTCGCAGCCGCACGCAGGTTCTGCTCCGGTCCATGCGAGCGGTTCTGCTCCGGTCCATGCGAGCGGTTCTGCAGGTTCAGTTTCTTTACGGTTCGTTGTCCAGGACTTTGCAGCGAGTGCCTTTACCCGACGGTGGAAGACGGCAGCAGGCGCTCGTTCCTGCCAGTTTTACTGATTTTTACACAATTTTAACTTTTAACGATCTTCCATCGCGGCCGCGTGAGAGCGGAAGACGTAAGAAACGTTTCCAAAAACAAAAAGTTGAGCACAGAGAGAAAAACCGCTAAAAGCAAAGAACAATCACGAGATGAGATTATTTTTCATTTTAGATCATGTAGTCGTTCGATTCAACCACAACGTCACTTTGAGAGGTCCGACCCCCCACCGGTCCTGCAGGTGGTTTGGTTCAGGAAGTCGAGCTCTGGGGGGGCGGGGCCTGAACAGATCCGGTCCTGCAGGACGAAGACGATCTGATCCAAACCGAGTTAAAACGAAATTAGAGAGAAGTCTGGAAGAGCTCGAACATCTGGAGTTGAGACGTTCGTGAGCGATGCGAGTTGTTCACCACTCCTCACCCGCTCCTCTCCCGCTCCTCTCCCGCTCCTGACCCGCTCCTGACCCGCTCCTCTCCCGCTCCTGACCCGCTCCTGACCCGCTCCTGACCCGCTCCTCTCCCGCTCCTCACCCGCTCCTCACCCGCTCCTCACCCGCTCCTCTCCCGCTCCTCACCCGCTCCTCACCCGCTCCTCGGCTCTTCATGCTCTAAATATGTAAATGTTTCGCTGTACATTGCTGTTTTTTTAAACACTCCGGTAGTTTTTTTTGTTTCCATTGACGGGGGGGAGGGGGTTATGACGGATGCGAGAGGGATTTTTGCATCGAGGGGGTGAAGCGGACTGTACTGTACAGGAAAAGGTTGCTGGTTTGAACCCAACAGGGTGTGTTTTCTGACGAAACGTTAACGACTTCTTCGTTTTGTTTGTTTTCACATGAAAACAGGATTTTTTGCACAGTTGTCTCGATGTAAATCTGTTCTGCCTCCGTTAACGTGTCCGAGTGCGTGTGCATTTGTTTTTACTTTTTATCTTTGGGGGAGAGAGTTTGTACGTGTGCATGCATGCGCGCACCTTTTGTGTTTCTGTCTCGACGGCTCACACACAAACAAAAACAAACAAAAAACATAGTCGTTGCCTTGTCACAAGTTTGTGGCTCCGTATAATTTATTTTATTTTTTTGCCAAACTTTCACCAAATGCTCTTTCCTCTCGGCTCCATCGTGTATTCAAAGTTAGATGCCTTATTTTAGCGAGTATATTTTGTATAGCTGGTCTGTCGGATCATGTTTTTGTGTCCCATGTCTCTGGCGCCTCGACGACGTTTCAGGTCCGATTCTCCACGTTTTACTCCTAAAAGTCAATCAGCCGCCCTTCAAAGCACAAACGTTCGCTTACGGTGCCTCTAACCTCGTGTTTATTTATTTATGGCCTTCTCTTGCACACGACGGCCTGTTTCCACCCTGATGCTGCCGTCGTTGAGGAACGACGACGATGCTCAGAAACTGGGACTTCTGGGAGTTTCATCGGTCTGCATCTGGAAACTTCTACCAGCAAACGAGTTCTGCTTTCTTACAGACGGTTTGACCTCAGCTGGAGCAGAGTCAGCTTTAAGGTGGAGCTTTGGGTTGGTGAGTGAAGCACTTGTGGTCAATCAGTGTCTTACCTGCAGCAGGTGGCAGTCAGAGCGTTCTAGGTTTAGAAAATCAGGGAGAGGTTCTCGTTTGTCAACGTTGAATGAGATCTCTGCTGGTCCTGGAGGACACGGAGCTCCCGTTGGACCTTTGGATTTATCAAGTAGCACCAGTAAACACAGCAAGGTCCTCCACACGGCTGAGGGTTTGTATTTTCTTTCAACACTGGGTGTCGACCTCTGGTGGCCCCTGATGATACGTCACCACTACATACATGACCCGTCACGTCGACCCGAGGGCCAAATCACAAGGTGGTGCGGTGAGAGCCGGCCAGCCTGTCCCAAAGGTTTCTGCACTTAGATCTTATCAAAACAGGATGCATAAATATCTGTGTCCATATAAGAAAAGTCTGGAATATAATCCTAAAAATTCAAAGTTTGTTTTCTCAGTCATCCAGGTATATAACAACAAAAAAGGTTGAATCATGTCATCTGGACTTCGTTTTTTTTGTTAAAAAGAAACGTTTCGCCCCTCATCCAAGAGGCTTCGTCAGTCTGAGGCCTAGCCATCTGGTATTACCCAGAAGCCACCCTGACTCTTGTGTTTCAAGCCTGCCTCAGATACCCCTGAAGTCTGGCCTAATCCTAAAAATTGTTTTCAAACCTCTTTCTGAGCAGAACCAACAACTTAAAACGTGGTTTGGACAGAAACGTCTTTGCTTTTTGCTACTTTCTCTGCGTGCTAGTGAAGATCTTTAATACCAGCTGGGAACTCCGTCCATCATCTTTACCCGGTTCTTCCACTTCGGGTCACGGGGGTCGCCGGTGCCCATATCCAGCAATCACTGTGTGAGGGGCGGGGGACACCCTGGACAGGTCTCCAGTCCATCACAGGGACACGGAGACAAACAACCATTCACTCTCTCTCCCAGTTTAGACACCAGTCAGTCTAACATGCATGTTTTTGGTCTGTGGGAGGAAACGAGTACCTGGAGAGAACATGCAGACTCCACCCAGAAAGACCCCCGGACCAGGATTTGAACCAACAACCTTCTTGCTGAGAGGCAGCAGCTCTACCAGTTGTGCCACCGTGTCCTGATATCCAGATCTGTTTTCAGGTTTCCTGTTCCAAATTACGTCGACAAATCCTCGTTGGAATACGTTCAAACTTTCAGACTCGTTTTCCTGGAGTCATCACGACTGGCGAGGAGCCGCTCGGGATTTCAGGATATGTAGCTTAAAAAGTCAGTAATCTGAAAATGTGCTCCGTTTGGTTTGACCAAATCTGACCTAATCCCTGATGTGACGGGTCACGTGTTCATTCAAGCTTTATTTAGACAGGTTAATCCCATTGAGCCTCGGGGACTCATTTACAAGAGAGACCTGATAACCTGACACGTGGTAATCTCCCTGTCGTAGTCTTAATCTCATAAATTAAGGATTTAAAGTGTTCTCTGTGTCTGAACAGTGTTTGAAAATGACTCGTCTTCCTTTAGACGGTGAAAAGTCTCGGTTTTAACGACCGTCTGGCACAGAGAAACGATGAAACTGGTGTTTCCTGGAACCGCCGGGAACGTTTGACGTGTCTTTAGGGTTAGCTCGGCTCTCCGAACCCAGCTCGCTCCGACTCCAATCAGAACCCAACTGCACCTTTAAGAAGCACCAGAAACCCGTCAGCTGCGAAGCGAGGTGGAACCGGATCACGTATCTGAGAAGTCCAGAAGCTTACTCATCTACAGGGAGGTTCTGGACGTTTGGCCCAAACGCTTTGTAGCTCACGATAAGTGATGATTTTAGGATTTTTATAGACCCAGTAAAAAACGTTATTGATGTCGGATTGAGTTCCTGCTGTTCTGAACCAGTTCACCTCTGGACTCTTGGTTTTCATCCATCCATCATCTTCCTCTTGTTCTGGACTCGGGTCTCGGGGGCAGCGTCTTGAGCAGGGAGGTCCAGACATCTCTTCACAGCCTCTTCCAGATCTTCTGGGAGGACTCCAAGGTGTTCCCAGACCACCTGAGAGATGTAGTCTCTCCAGTGTGTCCTGGGTCTTCCCTGGCAGTGTTGCCAGGTGAGAAATGTGGGATTATCGTACTAGAGACATAAAATTATCGTATTTTGAGGGAAATTATCGTACACCCGTCATAACCAGAATAACAAATCTATTGATGCACTATAGTAGTGATGGGTCCGCTTCCAGACCGGCTCTGCTTCTTCTTCTTCTCTTGTCCTCACTCATGGGGCGGCGCAGCGGACGATTCAGCCAATCATGGCCGTTGTTCTGAGGCAAAC